ACAAAGAACTCAAAAAGTTAAACAACAAAAAAGCAAATAACCCAATCAACAAATGGGTCAAGGACTTGAACAGAAACTTCTCAGAAGAGGATATACAATCAATCAACAAATACATGAAAAAATGCTCACCATCTCTAGCAATCAGAGAAACGCAAATTAAAACTACTGTAAGATACCATCTCACTCCAATAAGAATGGCAGCCATTATGAAGTCAAGCAACAAGTGCTGGCAAGGATTGGGTGGGGGGAAAGGTACACTCATACATTGCTGGTGGGACTGCAAATTGGTGCAGCCAATTTGGAAAGCAGTATGGAGATTCCTTGGAAAGCTGGGAATGGAACCACCATTTGACCCAGCTATTCCCCTTCTCGGACTATACCCAAAAGACCTAAAAAGTGAATACTACAGGGACACAGCCACATCAATGTTTATAGCAGCACAATTCACAGTAGCTAGAATGTGGAACCAACCTAGATGCCCTTCAATAGATGAATGGATTAAAAAATGTGGCATTTATACACAATAGAATATTACTCAGCACTAAAAAATAACAAGATCATGACATTTACAGGCAAATGGATGGCATTAGAACAGATTATGCTAAGTGAAGTTAGCCAATCCCTAAAAAACAAATACCGAATGTCTTCTCTGATATAAGGGGGGTGACTCAAAATGGGATAGGGAGGAAGAGCATGAGAAGAAGACTACCACTAAATAGGGAAGAGAGGTGGGAGGGAAAAAGAGGGAGAAGGGGAGTTGCATGGAAGATGGAAGTAGAACCTCATTGTTATACAGAATACGTATATGATGTTGTAATGATTAAAAAAAAAAAGTGTGTCACATTAGATTGGATAGAGGGAAAAGATGGGAGAGGAGGGGAGGAATAGGGAGGATAGGAAGGGCAGCAGAATAGAATAGACAATATGATTGATGTATGTACATTCCATGTATGTATTATATGTCAAAATACATTCTGCTGTCATGTATGACTAAAAAAAAATTTTTTTTAAAAATTGAGATAGTCTTGCTAAGTTGCATAGGGCCTCTTGAAGGTGTAGAGGCTGGCCTTGAACTTGCAGTAAGTCCTCCTGTCTCAGCCCCCCAAATTGCTGGGATTTCAGGCAGCTGCTACTGTATAGAAGGTACTTCAGTTTGATTTGTCTGATTTCTTTGGTGATTAACCTGGCATTATGAATTTTGGAGATGAAAACCAAGAGAGCTGAAGTATTATCTTCATCATATTATATTAAAGGATATAAGTTAGGAATAAGACATATCAGTGTTGATGTTGACATTGATCATTTATTTTGGTTAATGTACTATTTATCAGGTTTCTCCACTTTCAATTTTTTTCCCCTTTTGGTTGTCTTTTTTTTTTTTTTTTTTTTTTAAACAAGTTACCAAGTCCGGTCCATACTCATGGGAAGGAGAATTAAGTTCTCTCTTATAGGAAGGAATGTGTGACTGCTATTTGAAATTTTCCTATGAAAATTTCTCTGTATTTATTTTAATTGTGGGATTATAATCCAATGCTATTCTCATTTTTTTACTAAAATTGTGCCAATTTTGCTAGACTTTTGGGGAGTTCTTTCAGGTTGGTTCCTCAACTCATCTGATGTTGCGTTGCAGCCCCCCACCCCCTTCCTTTTTTTTTTTCTTTTTAAAGCACTTTCTAATATTCTGGCACTATAAGATATAGCAGTTTCAACTTGTATTTTTCCTGCCTCTCCCTTAAAATCAGGCATATTCCCCATTAAGATCTCTGATTCCTTTACTGGAGAAAATGGTATATAAACTCCAAGATTGGATTGTGGGCATGCTTGTTGCTACTGGGGTATTGCTGCTTTCTGGATCCTCTTATAGGACAAAGTCCTAGCCATTTATACTAATGTTATAACACATCTATATTTACATCTGACCATCTGTATGTATATACTAAATAAACATGAGTTCATATTGATATCTCTGACTCTAATTCAGCACTACAGAGAATAGTTTAGCTTTCCATTCTTGCTTATTTGTGACTTCTTTCTCCAACAAGAAGAAATCTTGTTCTTATTATCTACTATTATTTATTTATATTTTTAACACAGTATATAGGTAAAGAAGCTTCATATTAGGTCATGATAAGTTGTTTCCTCCTGTTTCATGGTATTTTTGGTTGTGAATTCATATTTGAAATTAATTTTTGAGACTTGCATTTATGTTTTATGTATTTTAAGAGAAAATTTGTTTGCTTATGTAAGTCACATTGAGTCTTCCCACTCCTTTAAGAAGAGTTTTTTTTGTAATAAAATTACAATTATGTCTACTTTTATTTCTGTTCTATTTTCTGTCTCATAAGTTTGCTTATTCCAGCTATCTTAGATAAGTGGAATAATACAGTATTTATCTTTTGTTTCTTGCCTGTTTGAGTAGTGTTTTCAAGTTTCATCTAAGTCGTAGCATATATCCAAATTTCATTCTTTCAGGAGCTGAATAATACTACAGAGTGTGTATACATACACCATATTTTGTTTATCTGTTCTCTTAGGAATAGACATTTGGATTGTTTGCACCTTTTCACTTATTATAAATGTTTCTGTGAAGGTTGGTGCACAAGTGAATCCATATTTTCAGTTATTTTTGAGTATATGCTCAGAAGTGGAATTGCTGGATTATGTAGTTGATTTACTTATTTTTTCCCTGGTGGTACTGGATATTGAATCCAGGGCACCTTGCCACTGAGCTTTACCCCAGCACTTTTTTTTTTTTTTTTTTGAGACAGAGTCTCACCAAGTTGCTGAGTCCTGCCTCAACTTCCAGACTTACTGGGATTATAAGTGGCATCACTCCATCTTGCATGGGTGTTTAACTCTTTGAGAAACAGCCAGACTTTTTCCACAGTGACTGTACTATTTTACATTTCCACCAGCAATGCACTGGAGTTCCAGCTCACTACTTTACATTATAATAATAATAATAATAATAATATAATAATAATAATAATAGCAGCCATCCTAATGGGTGGGAAGTAGTTTCCCATTATGGTTTTAATCTGCATTTCAGTGATGGCTAATGATGTTTTCATGTGAGGTTTTACTTATTTTGGAATTATTTTTTTAACCAGAACATTTTATTGCTTGACTAGTTGTTGAGATTCTCAACATGAACTGGATATTTCAGTAGCTGCCCTCACAGATTTAGGTGTTTTTTAATGGAGTCTCTGCCTTAATTTGTGGCATATGATTTTTAGGTGCCTCATTTGAATAGTAGTATTTTGTTCTTTTAGCCTTGACATACAGTTATATTTTCTCTTGTACCTAGTAGGGTAGCCATATTTACCACAGGTCAATTTCTGAAGGTGGTAGGCCTTAGAGCAACTGCAGTGGCAGTGTGGTATCTTAATTGCTTTCCAGGTGATGACATTCCCTTCATTATCATCCTTTGCTTTTTGAAACAAAGGAGAGGCTATTTTAATTATGTACTTTGCTGGGCCATGTAGGTTGTGAAATTCTGGCCTCAAACCTTAATAATTATATACTTATGATTAGGAATTCCCTAATGGTTTTAGTTCATTTGGGCTGCTATTAACAAAGTACTATAGACTTAAACTATATGTGTAAAGTTCTGAAGGTTGGAAAGTCAGATTAAGGTATCTAGATGCAGTATTTGATAAGGGCTTGCTTTCTTTATAGATGTGTTCTGACTGTTCTGTGGTTGAAGGGCAAACTTCCTTATGTCTCTCTTTTTTTTTTAAATAAGGACATTAATCACATTTATGATGACTCTACCCTATGCCTTCTAAAGGCCCTCCCTCTTTTTCTTTTTTTAATTTTTAGTTTTAAATGAACACAATACTTTTATTAATTTATTTTTATGTGGTGCTGAGGATGAACCCAGTGCCTCACATGTGCTTTACTCCAGCCCAGGCCTTCCTTTTAATATCATCACCTTGGGGTTGGGATTTCAACATCTGAACATTTATGCTATAACACTGACTGTGAGGTAAACACACAGATAATTTATTTGTCTTTAGTTCAACTCAGAACCCTAGAGTCAAGGATCAAACATTACAATTATTCTTTAGTGAATCCCTTTTTTCTCTCCCCCCCCCCTCACCTCGTTGGAGTGTTATCCTCCCGGTTTTGTTTTTTAACCTTATGTGTCATTGTGCTAAAATTCTGAAATTAATCTCCTTAAAGCATAGGCTCTAGGACATCAGGCTTTTTTTTGTCATGGCTCCAAGACATGTGCCAGCTTTGGAACTTTATTTATCTTTCTGGATTCCTACTTTTTATTTATTTATGACTTCAGGGGAGTTCAGCTATATGCTTACTTTTTTTTTTTTTTTTAAAACATACCGAGCATTTTTGGTATTCTGATTTGAAGTTTTTCTGGACATCGAATTAACCATCTTGCCAACACAGGAAACCTTGTTTTATTTTTCTTCTGTTAAAAGCAGAGATGATGGAATTTAAGGAAAAGGCTAGAGGTTTGGATATAGTTCTCATGAGTAAAGCAGGCAAACTATTTTTAAATTAGTCATTAATTTCTAGAATTGGTGATCAAAGGAGACTTAGGGATGATTTTATACATTTGTACATATTCATGTGCTTCTCCCCATTTTTATTATATCTTACTAAATTGAGCTTCTTTGTGTAGCAGATACATATAATAATTAGAAAAAAGAACATTTTAATGTGTTTTCTCTTTGGAGAAAATAAGATGTTTACAAAAAATAGTTAAAAAAAAAAAAAGAAGAAGAAGAAGGGCTCAGGATATAGCTCAGTTGGTAGAGAGCTTGCCTTGCATGCACAAGGTCCTTGGATCAATCCCAGCACCACCAAAAAACAAACAAATAAAGAAACAAACAAACAAAAAAAAAAACACCACCACCACCAACAAAAAAACCCACAAGAAATTTTAGAATAATCAAAGAGCTTGGGAAATGTTCAGATTTGTTTTGTATTGAATAGCTCTATTAATAAATACTTATTTCAGTTTGTTTTTATTTCAGCTTTGGCTAGATCAGAGTCTAAGAGAGATGGAGGTTTTAAAAATAATTGGAGCTTTGATCATGAAGAAGAAAGTGAAGGAGATACAGATAAAGAGTAAGGACTTTTTTCCCTCAGATATTTTATAAGAATGAAATTTCTCATTAGAAAATGAACATTCAATGGAAAGATTTTTAAGAGTATGGTGTTTACTTGAAACATTTAACTCAGTAACATTAAGGAAAGACAAAGCAATTCTTTATTGGTAAATAATTTTACTGTTACATTTGTCAGTCTTTTGAAATTCTTTTGAAATATAGAAATATGTGAATATAATATATGTAACCTCATAATTTAAAACTGATCATGCAATAGAAATTTTCAGATTAAGAAAATTATTCTTAAAGAATAGGTACGCTGGGCAGCAATTTGAAGAGCCACCATTTGTCATGAGTGAGCCCAGATTAAGAACCTTGAATTTTGTATGAAAGCTTTAAGTCCTAAAGTTTCTTTCTTTTCCCTTTGTGACCCTACCACTACCACATTCATTGTAGATCATATTTCACTTGAGAAAGTAGTGCCATTGTAAATGATAAGCACAGATATTTACCCAGGCAGAAGTTTAAGCAGAGTGCCCATTAGACTTTATTAGTGTACTTGGAATGAATGCTGTGTAAAGATTTTAAATTAAGCCAGGTGTGGTGACACATGCCTGTAATTCCAGCAGCTTGGGAGGCTGAGGTAAGATGATCATGAGTTCAAAGCCATCCTCAGCAATTTAGTGAGGCCCTAAGCAATTTAGGGCGACCCTGTCTGTGAATAAAATATTTTAAAAGGGGCTGGTGTTGTTGCTTAATGGTTAAGCAACCCTGGATTAGATCCCCAGTACCAAAATAAATACTTGTTTTAAATTTTAGTTTTATTAGTACTTTTAGCACATCATGAGATTTGTTTTGCACATTTGATGCTGTTTTTATTTCTTGATCTTATTGCCCTTGTGTCCCACTGGTTAAAAGAAAGAAATTCTGGTACACATGAGTATACACACAAAGTTCTACCAAAACTATAAATATTTTTTGGAAATCTTGATGCAAAAATTATGTTGGCTAAATATTGTAGGTGCTTTATTTCTATCTGAGAAATAGCTCTGTTTATTATTACCACTTTATGTGCCTTCAAGTTATATTTGAAGAAGAGCTTTGAACTGGTAAGTTTCTTAAAGTCAGCTTTTTATGGTCTTTTTTTTTTTTGTCTTGTTTTGTCTTCTGATTAATTTTCAATTTAAATTTTCTTCTTATAGACATTTAGTATTTATATAGTTTTGAGAAAATACAACTAAATTAAGAAATTAAACTAAAGAGAAAGTATACTGCCTTTCAAACATTTTGGTTTTTAGAATTTAAAAAGTTAAATAAAATATACCTGGGTATGGTGGTGCATACCTGTAATCCCAGTGACAGGGGAGGCTGAGGCAGGAGAATCTTAAGTTTGAAATCAGCCTTAGCAACTTGGTGACACACTGTCTCAAAATAAAAAAAAATAAAATAAAAAAGGGCTGGGAATGTGGCTCAGTGGTTAAGCGCTACTGGGTTCAATCCCTGATTAACCTTTCCCCCAAAGTTAGGATATATATAAAAGTAATGAAGCAAAATATTTTTTCACTCTTAGTTATAAGTAACAAGAATTTTTTTTAAAATTATAAACAGTTTAGCAGAAGAATTGTCTTTAAAAATGTATGTTAGATTTTCTTTGTTGGAAGATTTGCCATGGTTATGTGATTTAAAAAAAATATTTTAAAGTACTATACTGTGCAATTAATTTATGAATTGTACTCTGGTTCATCGTGATCCTTGGGCTTCAGCTTTTTGATCATATTACATATTGGTCTGATCTTTTAAAAATCTCAGGCCAGTGACTCTCAGTGGAGGGTTGATATTTTCAGGAGTGGTAAAATCATAAATATTTCACTGTGGCAGAAGCAATGAAATTAATTTTTTTTTATTAGCTGATTTTTTTTTCCTTTGACAGTGTTTCTTCCTCTGCATTTTGTTTCTCTGTTCTTATTCCCTAAATGTCAATCCAAGAGAGAAAGGAAAAATGAATGAGAATATATGAAATTCATTGTTAAAAAAAACCACAAGATTTTCGGTTCATTTATAGTAGGAATCAATAATTCATGACCTATAGTTTCAATCTTGCCCGCTACCTGATTTTGTTAATAATTTTATTGGTACACAGCTACATATGTAGTTTATGACTTGTTTTCATACTACAGTGGCAAAGATGAGTAGTTGGCTGCAGAGACTATATAGCCTGCAGAGCCTAAAATACTTTACTATTTACGAAAAAAGTTTTATGATTCTCTGGATTAGGAGAACATAAAGAATAAACCTTTTAATTTAATTTAATGTTTGGATTATAATTGTTACTTAAAGTTTTTCCCCCTTATTTTCTGTGTAGTCGGGCAAATCTACTCAGTGTAGAAGATGAGGATTCTGAAACCTCAAAAGGAAAAAAGGCAAGTGTTGCTTTTAAATTTCTTTTCTTTTAGGTTATATACTAAAAGCTGTTACTTTAATTAAAAGACTTATTTGTTTGGTGAACTTCAAAATACCCACTTCCCACCCCAGAGGCAAATAGGTATTCTTAGTTTCTTGTTTATCCCTATGGAAATGTGCATTAGTCGGCTTTTTATTGAAATAACAAAATATCTGAGATAATCAAGTTAATAAGCAAAAAGGGTTATTTGGTTCATGATTTTGGAGGTTTTATACCATGATTGCTTGGCTTTGTTGCTTTGGGCCTGTGACTGCATAGTACATTGTAGCAGGAATGGATAGTAATGGAAACGGTTTTCCTCATGACAGCTGGAAAACAGTAAGAGAGAAAGAGGAGAGCCAGGATTCCATGTACCTTTCAAAACTTCCTTCCATTAGGTCCCATCTCTAAAATAGTTCACCATCTTCCAATACTACCCCAGGCTGTGTCTAAGCCTGTAACACATGGGCCTTTGGGGAACACTTATCCAAGCAATAGCAAAATATGTTACGCATTATAAAGATGTATATTCCTACTCTATTCTATACAGTTGTATATTCTATACAGTTGAGGAAATATTATATTATAAATAATATTATAAATATTATACGTAGTTTTTCTGATCTTGCTTTAATTTAATCAGGAGACTATCCATGAGAGTTCATAAAAAGCACCCTCATTCTCTTCCATGGGTACATAGTATTCAATTGTATGGGGTACCTTATTAACACACATCATCACACATATCATCACACTTATTACAAGCTTACATTTTTTATTTCTTATGATAATGTTGAGTAAATTAGCCTTCTATATGGGTTATTTTTCATACATGCAAGCACATCTGTAGGATACGCTCTTGTAAGTAGAGCTGTTGTTATCAGAGTAGGTGTATAATGTGTGTGGGTGTGGGTTTTTTTGTTTCTTTCTTCTTTTGTTTCATTTTGTTATATGCTGCTGGGGATTGATCCAAGGACTTGCTTTTAGTAAGTGCTCTGCCATTGAGCTACATCCCAGCTCAGGACAGGTTTATTTCTAATTTTGACATACCTCATTACACTTAGGTGGCAGTGTCTAAAAGCATCTGTTTCCCCATACTTCTCTCACAATGTTATCAACCTTTTAATCTTTGCCAATAGAAAATAGCATCTTAATTTGCATTTCTTTTATTGTGAAAGAAGTTGAACACTTTTTCATTTAAGTAATCCACTTTTATTTCTTTATTAGGTAATTGTCAGTTAATATCCTTTGCCTGCTTTTTTATTTGGTCTTTAGAATATTATTGAGAATTTTGGGGGCTAGGACTGGGGCTCAGTGGTAGAGCACTTGCCTAGCATGAGTGAGGCACTGGGTTCAATCCTTAGCACCACATAAAAATTGATAAACAAAATAAAGGCATTGTGTTCATCTACAACTAAAAATTTTAAAAAAATTTTGTTTATAGAGACTAAGATATTATTTCCATATTTCAGCTTCTCTCAAATTTAAACGCATCTTTAGCAGCATGGGCTAGTTTAATAATTTTTTTTTTCAGAATACTACATACAATAATGGTGCATTTTACAGTGGTTTCCAGTGCACAGGCTTTTCTCACTGTATTCTTGAGTCTCCCTGTGGTAGATTTTTGAACAAAAGAGAAGTGTGAAATATCAGCCTTCTAAAAAAAAATTTATATATGACAGCAGATAATGTATTACAAATTCTTACTATATATAAATAATTTTGTTTTTCTAAAACAAAAATAATTTGTCATCTAGTTATTAATAATAGGCTTTCTAAATTTTAGGGAATGATTTCATTAGGATTTGAGTGGCTAATAATTATATTTGTTACTTCTAGTCACCACCCCACCCCTTTTTTAGGAAAACCCAATACTCTAAGAAATTATTAATTCTTATTAATACTTATTAATTTCACCTTTTTTGGGGAGGTAATCTGGGGAGTGAACCCAGGAACCACTTGCATGTTAGGAAGTGCTCTACCACTGAGCTACATCGCCAGTTTGAGGATACAGTCCTTACTATGGTTTGGTCAATACTTCCTGTAAGATATTTTATATTTTGTGGGTTTTGTATTTTATTTAAAATATTGATATTGCATGTTTAGTTCATTTAGCTTATGCAGAATGTCTACATAAAATTAAAAAATGAGGTCAGTTACATTGTCCCATTCTTATATCTATAAAGGTCTATTGTCATTTTTTCACTTCATTTATATTTCATTTATGTATTTATTAAATGTAAATATGCATCTTCACAATAATTGTTTCACTTCAGAATTCTAAGATAAATACAGTGTTGGTTTTGAGTTGAATTTGTTACCTGGTTGTGATAAGACACAGCAGATTTCAGTATTTTTTAAAAACATTTTTTATACCATGTTGTCTTTGCATCCTTTTCCTTTGATTTTCCCCTTGAGCAATATTTTTCTGAATATAGTCAGTAAATGCAAATTTTCATAACTTTTGCTTTTCCATTTTTCAATAACCCAATAAAAATCCTACTTTGGCCTAATATATCCAGTTTCTAACTCATCCTTCAAAGACCTTTGATAAAAGTGTTCTTAAAACAAGGAAAGAACCAACATCCTGCCATTATTTTACTTACTAAAAGAGAGTTCACATACCCTAGTATTTCAAATTATTTCTTGCAGAAATTTTTTTTAGATCCTAATACAGTAGAGAATTATATCTTTCTTTTTGTAAAGTAGAAAAAGGAACTATTATGAAAAGGGAAATGGGAAAGACCTATTATATTAGTACCTTTCTCAAGATGATTTTAAAAGTAATTCAGTTTTAAGGAAATGTAAAACTATAGATTGAGATTTAGAAATTGATTTCCTTAAAACTGTCCATAACTGTTTATCCTTTAGAGAGTTGTTGTGTATTGGGGCTGAGGCTTTGGCTCAGCAGTAGCACACTTGGCTGGCATGTGCGAGGCACTGGGTTCAATTCTCAGTACCACATGTAAATAAAAAATAAAGGTTTATCAATAACTAATATATATGTGTGTATGTACACACACACACACACACACATATATATATATTATATATATAAAATAAAGTTTAAAAAGTTGTTATGTATCCCAGGAGTTTACATATCCTAAGATTTTGAATGGCTTGTGGTAATAAGTAGGTCTGTTTGGATCCTTACTTGAAACCAATTTCTATTTCTATTGGAAAAAGGTTGTAATTCTGATGGAATTAGGAAAGACCTTTTATTTTTGTTCATAGTGTCTTAATATGCTTTTTTTTAAAAACAGAATAATCTCTTTGCTTTTGGGCTTTGGTCTTGAATAGTTTCACTGGTCCTCTATAAAGACTTATATGTCTTGAAGTTGAGCTATTATCTCCACGGATATTGCCTTTCTATATTATTCTTTTGGGGATTCTTAGTAGACAGCAGACTATTGCTTTTTTCATATCCTTTATCCTGTGTTTTAAGTTTAATAGAAAAAAAGATAATAAACAAGAAAAACATCACTTTTATATTCTAGGTAATGTTCTTGGTTCTTTTTTCCAAATCACTCATTCTTATCTTCAGCTGTCTCTAATCTGCTGTTTAATCTGCCCTTTGATTTCTTTTATTTTCTTTATTCCCCCCACCCCCAACTACTGAGGACTGAATCTAGAGCTATAGTCCCAGATCTTTTTTCTTTTTTAATTTTGAGACGGGGTCCCTAAGTTGCCAAGGCTGGCCTTGATTTTGAAATCTTCCTATCTCAGCCTTTCTTTTTTTACATTTCAATGACATCATTTGTAGAACTTCTGTTGGTTCTTTTTCAAAATCACGGTTGTTTTTTTTTCCTCTTGGTATTTAGTGCTTTCTTTACTGTTTTAAGTTTTTGTTTGTTTTGTTTTTTAAAACCTTTTTTTTTTTTTAGTTGTAGTTGGACATAGTATCTTTATTTTTATGTGGTGCTGGTTATCAAAACTAGCGCCTCACACGTGTGAGGAGGGCGCTCTACCAATGAGCTACAGCCCCAGCCCCAGCCCAAGTTTGTTTTTTTTTTAAGTTGTTGATAGACTTTTATTTTATATATTTATATGTGGTGCTGAGAATCAAACCCAGTGCCTCACACATGCAGGCAAGTGTGACAGCTGAGCCACAGTCCCAGTCCTGTTTTTATTTCAATTTTGGGATTTAAATGTTTTTAAACTTTTTTTTTTTATTGTTGGTCGTTCAAAACATTACATAGTTCTTAATACATCATATTTCACAGTTTGATTCAAGCGGGTTATGAACTCCCAATTTTACCCCGTATACAGATTGCTGTATCACATTAGTTACCCTTCCATTGATTGACATATTGCCTTTCTAGTGTCTGATGTATTCTGCTGTCTGTCCTATTCTCTACTATCCCCCCTCCCCTCCCCTTTTCTCTCTCTATCCCTTCTACTGTAAATCATTTCTTCCATTTGTATTATCTTGTCTTACCTCTCCTTTCCTCTTATATATCATTTTGTATAACCCTGAGGATCGCCTTCCATTTCCATTCGATTTCCCTTCTCACTCCCTTTCCCTTCCACCTCTCATCCCTGTTTAATGTAAATCTTCTTCTCAAGCACTTAGTCCCTACCCTGTCCTTGTTTACTCCCCTTATATCAAAGGGGTCATTTGGTATTTGTTTTTTAAAGATTGACTCGCTTCACTTAGCATAATCTGCTCTAATGCCATCCATTTCCCTCCAAATTCTATGATTTTGTCATTTTTTACTGCAGAGTAATACTCCATTGTGTATAAATGCCACATTTTTTTTATCCATTCATCTATTGAAGGGCATCTAGGCTGATTCCATAATCTTGCTATCGTGAATTGTGCTGCTATGAACATCGATGTAGCAGTGTCCCTGTAGCATGCTCTTATTAGGTCTTTAGGGAATAGACCGAGAAGGGGAATAGCTGGGTCAAATGGTGGTTCCATTCCCAGCTTTCCAAGAAATCTCCATACTGCTTTCCAAATTGGCTGCACCAATTTGCAGTCCCACCAGCAATGAACAAGAGTGCCCTTCCCCCCCCCCATCCTCTCCAGCACTTATTGTTGTTTGACTTCCTAATGGCTGCCAATCTTACTGGAGTGAGATGGTATCTTAGGGTAGTTTTGATTTGCATTTCTCTGACTGCTAGCAATGGTGAGCATTTTTTCATGTACTTATTGATTGATTGTATGTAAGAGTGAGAGAGAGGGAGGGAGAGAGAGAGAGAAAATTTTAATATTTTTTTTTTAGTATTTGGCGGGCACAACATCTTTGTATGTGGTGCTGAGGATGGAACCCGGGCCGCATGCATGCCAGGCAAGCGCACTACCGCTTGAGCCACATCCCCAGTCCCTGTTTTTAAACATTTTTAATGCCAGTAATCTTTTAATATCTTTTAGGGCTCTCTTATTGTTCTGAAATTATTATGTGTTAAATTTTCTGAGCATCTGTTCTCTCCTAAAATTAATTATGTGATGATTTTTGCACATTTAGTAATTTCAATGAAATATTTATTCATACAGTAAATTTATTTTTTATTTTTTTTATTGTTTTGATGCCAGGGATTTAACTCCAGGGCACTCAACCACTGAACCATATCCCCAGCCCTATTTTATATTTTATTTAGAGACAGGCTTTCGCTTTTGTTGAGGCTGGCTTTGAACTCAACGATCCTCCTGCCTGAGCCTCCTGAGCTGCTGGGATTTCAGGCGTGCAGGGATTACAAGTGTGCACCACTACACCCGGCTAGTAAATACATTTTGAACACAATGTTCTTGGTGCTAGCAAATAGATAAGTTTATTTTTCTTGTGGAACTTATTTTCTAGTGATTGGTTATGCATTAGTTACATAATGATTGATGTTATCATTTAGGGATTGGCAAATGGAAGGTTTATGAGTTGAATATGGCCTGCAAATTTTGGTCCATAAGCTAGAGTGGTTTTACATTTTTAAATGCTTTAAAAAAAATCAAAGGATACTATTTCACAACAAGTAAATATATAAAATTGAAATTGGTGTCCATAAAGTAAAATTTTACTGGAAAACAATCATACGCATTTATGTATTGTATTAACTACTTTTTACATTATAGCAAAAGATTTGAATATTTGGATAGACTTTATATAAAATATCAGATTCTATGTCTATCCACTTTTATAGAGTTTTGTGACATTTTATATGAAACTATGTAATTCATATAATGCATGGCACTAGCATTATATCTTCCCTCATGGCTACATTTTGTTAACATTATTAAATGTAGTTATTTAATAGTTTTTCTTTGTTAATGTGTAACTGACCTCAGTGAGGCCTGTGTTTTAGTTGGCTTTCTAGAAATGTGATTGTTTTGTGCTAATCCATCTGTTTTATAGCGCTCTTGCTTTTTTTCCTTTTTGTTTTTGCATTACGGGGATTGAACTCTACCACTGAGTGCTTCACCATCTCTTTTAATTTTTTATTTTGAGATGAGGTCTCGTGAAGTTGCTGAGGCTGGCTTTGAGCTTGTGATCCTCTGCCTCAGCCCAAGCTGCTGGGATTACAGTTGTGCGCCATTGTGCCTGGCTTTTAATTTTTATTTTGAGACAAGGTCTTGCTAAATTGTTCAGGCTGGCCTAGTTTGTGATCCTCTTGATTCAGCCACTTTAGTAGCTAAGATTATAGGCAAATGCTACCACATTTGGCTGAATGTATCATTTTGATTTTGTTAATAGTTATGCTCTAATTTGTAAGATAATCAGCCATAAATGGCTCCATTTTATGTCTTATTTTCTCACCAATAATTTGAGGTAGCTTACCAAATTAAGAGTTCAAATAAAGTGATGGAAAATAAAAACTTTTAGGAAAAGTTAAATGTGGCAGGTATCTAAAATAGTTTATGTGTAGTGTTTTAATTCAGCAATTATATCTTGAGTTTTTGTGCAGTTAGAATTATGTGATAAGACAAGCTTTACAAATTTACATTCTGTGATTCTATTTTAAAGTGATTTCTTTTTCTTGGTGCTCTATTCCAAGTATGACAGATGGTAGGAAACTTTTTTCTAAGGGAATTTGACAATACAATAAAAGATCTTTTTTTTTTTAATGAAATACATAGTTATCTGACAAAGCTAAAATTACTGGTTGTTTTCTTGTTGACTAAAATTACATAACCTATAAGCGCTGTACAGGCAACAAAATTGGAAAATGAAGAATTTTTAAGATCCTTTTGCTTATGATGGTGGAGTTTGTGTTGTCTATAGCCATCCTATGTATTAACTACTTTTTACATTATAACAAAAGATTTGAATATTTGGATAGACTTTATATAAAATATCAGATTCTATGTCTATCTACTTTTATAGAGTTTTGTGACATTTTATATGAAACTATGTAATTCTTGAGGTACTGTGGGTTTCTATATAAATACTTAGGGGAAAATCAAGATACCATCTTATGTTTTCTTTTTTAAATTTTTTATTGATTTTATTTCTTTTAAAATACAGGACAGCAGTGGAATGCATTACAATTCTTATTACACATATAGAGCACAATTTTTCATATATCTGTATATAAAGTATGTTCATGCCAATTCATGCCTCTATACATGTACTTTGGTTTTTTTCTTTGCATTACAATTCTTAATGCACATATATACCACAGTTTTTCATATCTCTGTTTGTATAACAGTATGTTGACACCAATTCAAGTCTTCATACATGTACTTTGTATAATGATGTCCATCACATTCTGCCACTATCTTATGTTTTCTTGAAGAAATGTAAAAAAGAAAATAAAAGATTGTTTCAAAAATAAAATTAAGTCAGTGTGGTAGCACACACTGTAATCCCAGCATCTCAAGAGGCGGAGACAAGAGGATTGCAAGTTCAAAGATGGCCCAAGTAACTTAGTGAGACCCTCTCTCAAAATAAAAAATAAAAAGGGTTGGAGATGTGGCTCAGGGCCTCTTGCGTTCAAGCTGTGGCACCAAAAAAAAAAGAAAAATTAAACTGCTTGGTATGGTGGCACTCACCTCTAGTCCCAGCTATTCAGGAGGCTCAGGCTAGCATGGGTAACATAGAAGAGATCCTGTCTTAAAAAATAACAACAAATGAAATTAAAGTGCATAAGAATGATTCAGAATGTTATTTGGGGAAAATTATCACTAAGAATTTAGGACCTTTTAGCCATAAATTGTTGGAAAACAGCTTTTAAGTGATGACTATAACAAAGGTTGGTGTCTTCAATGAGAGCTTAAGGAAGGCCATTATGTTATATTGATCTCCCCAAGGTGATTATAATATGTTTATGCTAACATTTGCATCCATGAAGGCATAAAGACATTATCTAAATTTCTGTGTTGATATAGAAACTTTCATGTAAAGCAAAAATCCTTACAGAAAAGCCTAAGTTAAATTGACTATTGATTGCCACATTTGGCAGTACTGTTCTTTGGATAGCAACAAGACTTGTTAAGCATAGGAATTATTTTCTTTTTCTCTCTGGAGAAAGCTATTCTAAGATCCACTATCCTTCTTTTTTTCAACTATCTTTGGAGAGATTTACAGAAGAGAAAATATACTCCCCTTTCCTAAAAATATGCACTGTTTTTAGGGAAAAGTACTGTAATTGAATTACTCTCAGGTTTATGCCACTGCTGTTGCCATCCTCCTATCCCCAATAACATTTTTACTTATTTTTTTAACAAATGAGTTTTAAAATATTTATTGATAAATTTTATTTTTATTAACTCTTTATGTTTATTAACTCTTTAATATTTATGGATCTTTTTACAGTTAAATCAACCATCTGAAACTGTTGCTGCTAGTTCTGGTGATTTCATCTTGAAGACATATGTAAGACGAAATAAGACTGAAAGTTTTAAAACTTTGAAAGGCAACCCAATTGGACTTAACATGTTGAACAACAATAAGAAATTGAGGTATAAGCACCTCACCCCAGTACCCTACATAAAACATAAAGGGTTTAACACCAAAAGATAACTATCTTTTAACTATAAAACTACCCTGTACCTTTTCTTTTGAATTTGTTAGTAGGTCAAGATATACGATGGTCTTAATGTGTAGATTCTTTGCTTTGAATCTTGGGGGTAGGGTTGATTGCAGTGATTTCTTGATTCTGAATAGAACACTGAAAAAAACATTTCAATAGGCAGTTATCTGATGCGTTTACTTTGATTTAGTTAGTGGAATTTCAGTGATAATATTAGAAATAGAAGGCATTGTAAGGTGGGATGGTCATAATGTCTTTTAAGATATTCTAATTAAGATTGTCTCAACAAGGGATTTTTTTTCTTTTATAGATTTCTTATTCCTCTTCCAGATATAACCCAACTTTCATAGCGCTTATAGTGAACCACTGTTACTGATTAGGATTGGACTATCAGTAACAAACCAGAAGTGGGGTTAAAAAATTGCTCTCCTCTATCACTTTATAAATAGCTGAGATCCATAAAGGTGAAGTAACTTTCAACTTAGTGGCAGAATCAGAAATAAAATTTAGGATTCTGGATTTCCGTTCTAGGGTTCTATTTGTTATTTTTCCCCTGAAACTGTATGGGAAACATTAAAAAAAAAACTTCCAAGGGACAGTTTTGTACAGTTAATTGAGCTTATCTATAAATTTTTTAAATGGTAAAGATTTTATTGTGTATACTTAGATTTTAGAAGAATTTATTTTGTCATTGTGTATGTAATTTTCTCTTGTTTAGATTATTTTTGTTTCTTAAATTTTGCAGTGAAAATACACAAAATGCATCATTATGTTCTGGAACTGTAGTTCATGGTAGACGTTTTCATCATGCTCATGCACAGATACCAGTAGTAAAAACAGCAGCCCAAAGGTAAGGATTCTAATTCTATTTGTTTTTAACAGGAGTTGTTTTTCTTTTTTTTAAAACAAACTTTTTTTTTCCTTTGTGGAGAGAAAAAGAGGTAGATCTCTGAAATAATTTATGACCTGAAATTTTCTTATTTTATTTCTGTTTTTGAAATAATCACATTTTATAAATAGAGAATTTTAAAATACAAGTCACTGTATTGCATTACAATTCAATATCTAAGAGATATTTAAATTAAACTGATTTATGATATTGACCATACAGTGTTTGACTTAAAAATGCTCAGTTTTTGGTATTTGAGCTCTGGAGAGTAAAACTATAGCTATTACTTTATTTGCTTTGTAAGGTTTCATAGTAATAAAACAAATTATGCTATTTTTTAAATGTTTGAGATAATCTTGATTTTAGTAGATTTAGGAGTTCTCATTGATCTTGAAAGTCCGGCTTCAACATTGAAATAATGAAAGCAATAGTTGAGGAAAGCCTGGTATGCTTTTGAGGTTTTTCAGAATGATTTTTGAAATGTTAACATCCCTTTCATTTGATTCTAGCAGTTAAATAGTGTACTGCATTATAAGTAGTCTTTTATAGCTGATAAAATTTAAAGAAACACTTTAGATGCTATTTTTTGTTTTTAAAAATGAAAATCGAGGCTGGTACTCATTTAAAAAATGTGTCTGGAACCTTAGGATTCCTTCTTATATATATTCCATGTTTATATAGAAAACCTTAAATCTCTCATAATTTTTTTTACTTAAATGTGTTATCAGAGTATCACATAAGATACTTGATAAGTTCAATTAAGACAAATTAATGTACATACCAAAAATTGGCTTTCCCTAATGCAAAGTACACAAACTCTTTACCTACATGTGGGACAAACATGAAAATGTGATAAAAGAGTAATTGTGGCAAGGGAAGAAGAGGAAACACATGCCCACACACTGATCACACTAATAGATTGTTATTGATTAAAAAACTATATTCTTGATATTATGAAAATCTGGTCTAAGTGGAATTACTAATTTAAAATTTATTTATTTTATTTTTTTATAGTGCTGAGGATTGAACCCAGGGCCTTGTGCATGCAAGGCAAGCACTACCAACTGAGTATATCCCAGCCCTAATTTAAAATTTATAATCACATTGATTATATTTTACAGCTTAAAATATTAAATTATTATTGCTTTTGAAGTTATCAGTTTGGTATTATTTACACCATGACCTATTATTCTCCTTCCTTTATGTCCTCATTGGAATGTTTGAAAGATGATTATAGTCTGGAAATTGGGTTGTGTTTCATTTTATTCTTTTTTAATATTTATTTTTTAGTTGTAGGTGGACATAATGTCTTTATTTCATTTTTATGTGGTGCTGAGGATAGAATCCAGCCCCTCACGTGCTCACTAGGCAAGCACTCTACAATTGAGCCACCACCCCAGTCCCTTATTCTTAATCTTTTTTTTTTAAACTTTATTTTTGGGGTTTGAGGGTACCAGGGATTAACCTCAGGGGCACTTGATACTGAGCCACATCTCTAGCCCTATTTTGTATTTTATTTGGAGACAGGACTGATTGCTTAGTGCCTCACTTTTGCTGAGGCTGACTCTGATCCTTCTGCCTCAGCCTCCCAAGCCACTGAGTTATGGGGGTGCTCCACTACGCCTGGCTTAACTTTATTTTTTTAATGTGATGCTGAGGATTGAACCCAGTGATTCATGTGCTAGGCAAGTGCTCTACCATTGAGCCACATCCCCAGCCCCCATTTTATTCTTAATTTTGACACCTATTCTACCTTGCATATGTATCATTGCTCATCTTTGTAAATCATTAGATTCATTTTATAAGAACTAGTGCTTAGTAATAAAACATTGTTTCTTCAAAAACAGCGACAACCTAAATTAATTTCAAAGAAACGATCAAAAGAAAACAATCCTGAGTGAAAATATTTGACAAGAGTGATTAGGAACAGTTAAGAAAACATTTAGAGTCAAGTAAGCAGAACAGATTCTACTTAATATTTTTCTTTTATTTATTCTGTATAAGAATAAATATGTCTTATTCCAACTGCAGTGACTATCATTGAAAAGATTTTTGAGGTTCAAAGACAGTCATTAAGAATTTTTCCAATTTTCTTTAAGATGAATATTAAAAAAACACTAATTTTATGCAATAGACATAGGTAAGAAACATATTCAAAGATATGACCAAGTTCTTGCCCTTGAAGTTCAAATTTAATTAGAGCAAATGATAGAAAGACAGAGAAATGGTTACCTAAGTGCCTTAGTAGAGAAGTACAAAGTATTTGTAATAATATTATAAAGCATGGGAAAAGTCACGAAGGAGGAGGTATTACAGGTACTTTTGAGTATACCAGATAGAATCACATCTTCAAAGTGTGAAGAAAACTTTGCTTAAAATGATTGACAACAAGCAGTTGGCACAATTGTCAGGCCTCAAATGAGGGTAAACACAAGGTTTTAAAGATAGCTTCTCCTAAAATTTATTTTTTCAGGTCTTAATTTGAATTTTCAAGAAATGCTTGTAATTCACAGACAGATTGTTTTTCACACACACGCAAACACACACACATGCATATTTAAGATTTTTCTAGTGTAGGACTTTATAATAAACACATATTAAAGCTTTTTAAAAAATGCCATGACTTGATTGTTAGACATCATAGTAGATTTATTTTTCCCAATAAGAAAAGTGAACGTGCACATATGCACACTTATACTCTCATGTCCATTTTTCTTAAATATGTATATGTGTGTGTATATATATATATATATTTGTTTTGTTTTTTCCTCTTCCTAACTAACTTGGTTTATTGGGAAGAATCAAACCTAGGTTTCTTTTGTTTCTATTCTATATTGTCTTCTTTCCTGTGTACAGGTGAGTTTAAAAAAAAGCAAAATGAGAGTACTAAGCTCTTCTCATTTTGGCTCAACAGTGTGAAGTTGGAGATGACTAGATTAGGTATTAATGCCTAACTTTTGGTTTTTATTTTGCTTTTCCTAGAAATATAACTCCATATGTAGGGTAAAACAGGCTGTATTTAAACTTATATATTTTGCTTCACTTATTTTAATAGGAATGTGATGAATTTGTCTCATTTTTTGGTCATTTGTCCAAAATAGTTTTATATGTTTTTTAAATAGCAGGGGTAAAATTTCAAATGTATTATGTAAGTTTATGATTTTTTATTGTTGAAAAAGATTTTGTTTCTTTTGAGTGTGTTTGTATACAAATAAGTTACCATATTTTTTTCCCATAATTTTCTGGAATTAAATTATTTTATGTGCTCCACATGAATATAAGAGGTAGTATGGGAATTTGGGGATTTTACAAACTGTGCTTTGCTTACAGTTAGTTTTATATTTAGTTGTTTTCATAATAAAGATAAAGTAATTACAGGATGTCAATCTTGTATAGATTTATTTTTAAGTGAAGTTTCTTTTTTTGAGCTTCTAGGAACTGTGGAGAAATGTGGAGTTTTTATACATAGTACTTATGATAAGAGGGCATGGTTTTATTTTTTAAAATTTATTTTTATATTTATTTTTTAGTTTTAGGTGGACACAACATCTTTATTTTATTCTTTTTATGTGGTGCTGAGGATCAAACCAGTGCCTCACGCGTGCCAGGGGAGCACTCTACCACTTGAGCCATATCCCAGCCCAGGACATGATTTTAAATCCCAAACCTTTTTTTTTTTTTTTTAATTTTTTAAAATTAATTAATTTATTTATTTTAGTTGTAGTTGGGCACAGTACCTTTATTTATTTTTACGTGGTGCTAAGGATCGAACCCAGGACCTTGCACATGCTAGGCGAGTGCTCTACCGCTGAGCCACAACCCCAACCCATAATCTCAGACTTTTTTATTATGTCTCAAATACTGTGCAGCCTCAATTTTTTTCTTACTCGAAAGCACATATTCATACCTGATAATAGAATGACTAAAAATTTTGTAACTTTAAGGAAATGTTACTATTCTTGGAAACTCTATAACTGTCCTAAAATTCCTAAAATAATGAGTATCTTCAAATGTTTGATAAAGTCCTTTCAATAATTTATTTTCATATTTGTGTATATTCATCTTTCTTCTTGTTAAGAACATAAGAAGATTGTTTAAATTATTTTGGGTATTAACAAGAAATGAAAAATAGCTTGGATAACACTTACAACATAGTACTTAATATACATAAAATGCCTTTAAAACAAATTGATCACAATATAGTTTTACCTTATTGACTACAGTTAATGCAACTACAATGATAAATCAACAATGAGGTCTTGCCTCTTACATTTTTTTTCTTTTTCATGTTTTAAGCAATCCGGACCGAAAAGAAAGGTAAGCTTGATATTGTTGAAATTAGAGCATGGATATAGCAGTAAAATATCAGACTTTTAATATGCTTTGAAAAATATCCATTGAATTAGAGTTCATCATTAAAGTATATTATTAATTTTTTTTTTTTTTGGTTATTCTGGGAACCAAACCTAGGGCCTCATGCATGCTAGGCAGGTGTTTTGCCACTGAGCTATATTCCCTGTCTTTAAAAAGTATTAATTTTAATAGAAGGAAACCTGTTTATAGTACAACATATTATTTGGCTTACATGCGTTCGGCATAATTTACAGTAACCATTTTTCCATGAATGGTTATTACATATATATGATGATGTGTCCTATTTTTCTTTAAAAATAGAATATTTCAGTACTTTGGTAGTAAAGTTGCTTTCAGTTTTATTATCAAATTCTTTCATGTTATATTCAGTGATAATGATCCTGCTTTTATACTTTTCTATAGTAAACTAGGGACAACTTAAACTTGGAGTTAGAACCTCAAACAGCAAATGTTTTCTATTCTAATAAAAAAAATTGGTAACAGAATTTTATGTTCAACTTTCTATCAGTATTTGTTTCCTTTGTAAGAACTGTGGTGACCACATAGTGTTTAGGAGAAATATGAGTAATATAAATGATATTGAAAAACGTTTTCAAGAATACACATTTCTTGCTTTAGGATGATTATAATCATCCTAAAGCAAGTGTCCCTAAAAGTAATTTCTCTCCCCTGTGATGAGAAAACTTTTTGTGTATGTGCGTATCTTTTTCAAATGTTCATGAGATTCTCAAAAAAGTTTTTTGTGAACCCTGCCTTCTGACCTTCCAAACAGGTTAAAAGCTCTTATATTGAAGCAATACTTTTATATAATTGGTGAGTGTGAAAAGGAAAATTATATAATTTGATCTATAATTGCACCTAAATAATTAAAAAAATATGTAGAGAAGGTAAAAAGAAATCTGGAATATTATATAAAATTTATTATATCTTTATGAACATTGAGTTCCAGGAATACTTTTGTTTTGTTTTGTTTTGTGTTGCTGGGGATCAAATCTAGGGCCTCATGCATCCTGGTTATAGCATTCTGTGACTGAGCACATCATCAGCCTGAATTTGTTTCTTTCTTTTTGTGGTATTTGTGATCAAAGCCAGGGCCTCACACTTGCTAGGCAAGTGCTTACCACTGACCTATATTCCCAGCCTGCTCAGAAATACAAATTTAATGATAATCCTTCCAGTAAAAAAGATTTAAACATAGAATTCTGAACTATTTCACACGTGTTGTGTGTTTTAAATGAATGGGCTATGAAAATATTTTATCACCTATTTCCTAGGAAAGAGACACTTTCCCATCAGTTTTTTCCTGTTTGAGTAAATTATTACTTCTAGATACAGATGAATCCTTTGTATCTTTTAAATGTTTTACTCATAAGTGACTGCTTTTTTAGTAAGACCATTAATATTTTTGGTAAAATTGTTAGAGTTATACTTTAAATAGCTCTTCATACAATCACACATTTAGAACAGACATTTATTTTGTCCAAATAAACATATTCTTCCCTTCATGCCATTGTAATTGAAATTCGAGTGCTGTTATATTATCAGAATAATAGAAAGATCTTCGGTGGTTTTTTTTTTTGTTTGTTTGTTTTTTACAGTAGCCCTGTAGGGTTGATGCTAATTGTTTTCTACTGCTTTGACTTACACATAATTTTTGTAATGGGAGTTTCATTTCATGATATATTTTAGCAAATATTTAAATGGCTTTATATGTCAGGCACTCTTCTTGGAGTTGACAAAATTCCCTACTCTCTTGTAGCTTACATTCTTATCAGTATAATGCTAGAATAGGAGTTAGAAGATCAGCAAATAAGCAGTATAGCTGTAGGCTTATTAATTGCTATAAATGGTTAATTTTAAAGTTTTGTTGGGAACAAATGAGATTAATTATTTAAAATTGATTTTATACACTGTAATAAATGGAAAATTTTTGAGTACTAATATTAATAGGTGTTAATTCTTTTAATCCTTTGTTGCTAAGATTACCTCTAAGGACTAAAGCTCTTGAAAACTAGATGTGAAGCAGAAACTGTTTATGAAAGTCCTTGTAACAAATATACCTCAGTGCTTTACATGGCAACTTAGTTACTGTTAGGGTGAATTTAGTACATAATCCTTTGGATCCTTACATTAAATTATTTTGTTAAACAAAAGAATGTTTGCATTATCAGATTTTGTTTTGTTAATTTTTTTTTAGTTGTTGATAGACTTTTTTTTAAAAAATTTGTATGCGCGTTGCTGAGAATTGAACCCAGTGCCTCACATGTGCTAGGCAAGTGCTCTACCTCTGAGCTATAGCCCCAAGCCCAATCACTTTGTTAATTTTTTGATCACATAGCCGTTTCCTCCCTTTTAGGAATAGTAAGCCACATTTTTACCCCCTGATGTGTTAGGAATGATAGTTTTCTTAGCTTTATTCTTTACTACTTAAGGAACTATAAATCTCTGAAATAAATCAATATTCGTAAGACAGTGGTTTATCTAATAAAAGTCAGGTAGTTGTAAAAGCTTAATCTCTCCCTGTTTTTTCTACTTTTACTATTTGCTGGGCACATTGAGATATGTTATCATCTTAAAAGTAAGATACAGTAAACAAATTAATTAACAGTATTAAGCTCCAGAGATTGAGCCTTTAAAGAAAAGAAAAAGAAATTGCTACCAGTTTTTCTACATTGTGGGTAACTTTGACAACTTGAATAAAACAAAGTTTTTTCTGACTCTTGGCCATATGTATTGTGAATATAGTGTATGTGGTACCACCAACAACTCAGAATATATAATCTGATATTTGAACTGTTTTATTTTGTTCCTTATATAAATAATCTGTTGACATTTTATAAAACTAAAGCGTACAGTGATTTTTAAATGTAGAATTTTTTTAATATTTATATTTAGTGTATGAAGTGGGTCCATAACTAGAGAATTTTGAAACAAAAGTACAAAGGTAAAGAGAATAAAACAATAAAAATAGGAAATACAGATAGTGTTTACTTATAGGTTGTGTTTAAAAAGACAAGAGTAGTTAAGGTTTATATAATTTTTTTTAAAAAGTTCTCAGAGTAGAAAATTACATGTTAGGATTTTTATTTTATTTATTTTTTGGTACTGGGGATGGAATTCAGGAATGCTTTACCACTGACTATAGCTCCAGCCCTATTTATGTTTTATTTTGAGACAGGATCTTACCAAGTTCCCAAGGCTAGTCTAGAACTCAAGGTCTTCCCACTTCAGCTTCCCAGGTTGCCAGAATAACAGGTGTGCGTACATACCTCATACAGCATATGTTAGAATTTTGATGCATTTTCTCTCTATTTATTTTTGTATGCCCTTTTTAATATGCTTAACATGTGGTTAATCTTAATGAAAATACTTTTAACTGTGTGTTCCAACAGTTTGGAGCAACTGTGTTTACCTAACAGTATGTTTTGAGCATTTTCCAGTATTATTAAGTTAGCTTCTAAAGAAAGATTTCTGTTAAGGTGATGGTTGCCCAGGGGTACTCTATCACTGAGATACATTCCCAGCATTTTTTTATTTTTTATTTGAGACAGGGTCTCATTAGGATGTCCTACCTGGCCCAAACTTGTGATCTTCCTACCTTAACCTAAAGAGTCACTAGGATTACAGGAGGGTGCAACCATGCCCAGCTCTTAAAAATAATTTTTTAATGTCTGCATAATAGCTTGTCTTAGATACCCATAATATATTTACTCATTTGCTCATCTGTGGCTGTTTTTCACTATTATTAAAACACATTGGTGAACAATATTGCTTATAAATCTTTAATTGCATCTCTTAGACTAAATCTCTGGAAAAGGGTTCATTTGGCCATGTTACAAATGTTTTTAATTCTTTTGATAAGTATGGCTGAATTGTTTATAGGGCAATGGAACTAACTGTCAATTGTTGCCTCAAGATGTATAAAAATAAACTTATATTCAGATGATTTTTTTTCTTTCTTGGAATTATGAGTCATCTGAAATTTTAGAAATAATAAGAATTGATCAAGATGATAGGCTATAAAACTATGATTATTTCATCCCTAATCAATTGAATACTCTAATTCACCTCTAATCATGTGAATTTGCCCCCCCCCCTTTTTTTTGGTGGTGCTGGGGTTTGAACTCAGGAATTTGTCTTTGAAAAGACAAAAATTTCATTTATGATAGTACCTACAATTATATAAATATATCTAAAGAAACTAATTTGAGGCATATATTTTGTTCCTATTTGGTAGGAGTTTATACCATGTGGGCAGCTACTGCTTAAAATAAAATGAATGTAATTTAATTCTATCCAAAAGAGTAAATATTTGAGAATAGAAAGTTGAAGACTTATTTTTAAAAAAGAAGAAATGGGGATAGAGAAGAATGACTTACTACATGATAAAACCTACTATTAAGAAAATAGAGATTAAACTTGAAAACACTAAGAAAAGAGTAGGTGGAAAAACAGTAAACAGGCTAGACAGTCTTGAATGTATTGAATTCCCACCCAGTTTCTTCAAGTCCACAGCTAGATATGGTGGCACATTTCTGTAATCCCAATGGCTTTGGAGACTGAGGCAGGAGAATCACAAGTTTAAAGCCTAACTTAGCTTAGACCTTAAGCAACTCATCAAGACTCTGTCTCCAAATGAAATATAAAAAAGGGTTTGGGGATGTGGCTCAGTGGTTGAGTGACCCTGGGTTCAATCCCTGGTACAAAAAACAAAAGGTCACAGTGCCTTTCAGATGCCTGAATTTTGATGTTTGATCATAAGCTGCAAAATCAATATTTTGATTCATTATACAGAAGTGCTGTGTAGTGGCCAGTGGTTCACTTTTAACAGCCATTGCCATACTTTACAAGCTGTTTGTAAAGTTGTTTGACCTGGTAAATATCTTCTCTGATTACACACTGCTTTTTGTATACATACTTCTATTAATTGCAAGTATTTGTTGAATGCCTACTATGCTCTAGGCATAACGATATCATGAGGAACAAAACACAAGATCATTGGACTCCTGTAGTTGATATTCTGATGGGGCAAATCTTAATAATGTACAAGTGAAACTTGAAATACGTTGTTCTATGTGTAGAGAAGTATAATTGGATGATGATGAGATAGAATGACAATATGGTTTCTTTAGATTCCGTGTTTAGGAAAACACCCTTTACTATTATGAAGCTAATGTTTAACTAAAGAAGGAGTCAACCATTCTAAGAATGGCTTTTCCAAATAGGGAAAAGGTAGTGGTAAGTTATTAATGCAAGAATAAATTTAACATGTTCAGTGAACAGAAAAAAAGGACCACTGTAGCTAGAGATTAAAGTGGAAGAATATTACAAGATTGGCTGGGACTTAGATCACGAAAGGCTTTTGTAAGCTGATCTGAAGAATTTGTATTTTATATTAATGGAATAGAAGACTTCTAAGCATTTTAGGTAGGGAAGTGTTATTCTCTGAAATATAATCTTTTTTAAAACAATATCTTTGTTTATTTAGTTTTATGTGGTGCTGGGGATGGAACCCAGTGCCTCATGTGCTAGGCAAGTGCTCTCCCACTGAGCTACAACCTCAGCTCCATGAAATATAATTTATATATATATATATATATAACTCTTAGGAGTTAAGGAGGTAGAAAGATAGAAGAAAAACAAGCCTTCTGGAAGGGTTAAAGGGAAAATAAAAGGCCTTATTTGGGGAGAGTCCTTATTTAGGGAATGGTTAAGTGAGAAATTAAAGGATATTGAAGGTCTCATTCCATTAGAGACGTATAGAGCTTGTGCTGCTATATTGTGTTGTGTTTGAGAAAATAGTACTTTTTGTTGTTTTGTTTTTGATGGTGGGGATTAACCTCACTCAGGGCCTTGCATATTCTCTACCACTAGACTACTCCCTCAGCCCCTAGACTGTTCATAACATGTTAAAGCAAAGCAAATTAAATGTGCAACTGCAGTAAGGTTTGGGGGAGAGATAAAATATTCTTTTGTTAAATTAACTGGAGGAGGAAATGAATAGTTAATAGGAAAAAAGGAAACATACAATAAATATAAATCTAAAAACCAGCTAATACAGATGAAAGAAAAACATGAAGTCTGTCAGCTATTATAAATATGAACAGTTTGATGATTGATTGATTGATTACAGTACTGGAGATTGAACCTGGAGCCTCTCTAACACTAAGCTACATCCCCAGCCTTTTTTACTTTTTATTTTGAGATAGTCTCGCTAAGTTGTGCAGGCTGGCCTCAAATTTAGGATCCTCCTCGGCAGTTGGGATTATAGGTGTATGGCCACTGTGCCTGGCTGGTTGAATACATTTAATAAAAGACAAACTGGTTGGATTAAACACTATTCTACTGTATTTTTTGTAAGAACCATACTAAACAGTTTGCAACTAAAGGTATGTTTAGGGTCACAGAGAAATGCAAACAGAAAGCAAGGGTAGAATATTAGTTAATGAGACTGAATTAAGGAGTAGAAGCACTAAACAAGATAAAAAAGGACATTTTATAATATGCACAATTTATAAAAATGTAACAGATATATACACTCCCTGAAAATTTTTAGAATGCAAGTAGTTCTTAATTGAAATAAATTTGGGGAGATTTTGATACATCTTTTAAATTTTTAACTGCTCTATCAGTTAAAACGTATCTGAAATAATGAATTCTAACTGTGTAAAATGAATAGATTTATTTTTTATAGAAATATACATCTTTTGACATTAGTTGATAAACAGTGCCCAGGTTCTGATTTTTAAATATCACTCTCTAATAAAAGAAACATGGAGAAATGATTGATTCTAGGGATGTACTGGGGAAAACACAAAATGAATGTTGCCAGAAACCAGATAATTACTCCAAAAAACGGATAAGTAAGTGAAAGGGTGCCTGCTTCAGCAGCTAAAATTGGAACAGTTCAGAGATTGTATTGTACACATTTGTATTATCACAATTAGTAAAGTTTTCCGTATTTTTCTAAATTTTCCAATTATGTGTGTTACACAGTGAAAACCAGGATAGAATTACATCAAAAGAACACAGAAATAGCTGAAGGAGCTCCCAAGGGCCAAAATTTCAATGAAAACTAGAACCTTAAGTAAAAATAACTATCCCTGAGTCATACTGATGTAAATAATTTTATATTTATTAAACCATCTTAGTAGTCTTGAAATAAACACTGCCTTCAATACCATGCCAGATTTGCTAATAAGATTTTACAGTGTGCATCAAATGAACTGGAAGATCTGTTCCTTACAGAAGAGTTTCAAGTAATAATATCTACCACCTTTTCCACTATTGTTACCACTAATCTTCACACTTTGTATCTTCTTTCACAAATTTTAAAATCTTGGCAGAGTGGAAATTGCCCAGCTGTACCAGATATTGCTGTACTCATCATGATTGATAAGACTTTGCTAATATTCAGCTTCTGGTATTGCCATTTAGTAGCTATGTGACCATGAGGAAGTTATTCTCACTGTGCCTCAGTCTTCTCATTTATACATTTGTAAAAAAAGTATACTCATAAGGTTATTGTGAAAATTAAAGGAATTAATAGATAAAAAGCAGTTAGAATAGTACCTGACATATGATTTTCAATATTTGCTAACTGCTAATACAAATATATTACTGTCACCATTCTTTAATAGTTTCTTCTTTTGTAATTTTCACATTTTATTTTCATTTTGGTACTTTTGACTTTTATAGTGTAGGAATATGAAATCCTTGCAAAAATATGCCTTTGTGATTTGTGATGATTAGAAAATATTCATTACTAGTGTGAGCAGATTTGTAGATAAATAGAATAGCCTCTTTTTAATCCCCCAGTTAAATATTAGCAGGAATATTTTGGAAGCTTTCATTTAGGGTGGGAAAGTATCTAACTATTGTAGCTCCCTGGCCTATTTGTACTTTTTGTAATTCTCTGTATATAAATGTTTTTATTCTACTACTACCTGTAGGGCTTTTGGTTTTTTCCCCCAAATTAGTGTAGTTTGGACTTATATAGATACAGTATATAGGACACTTAGTTACTAAAAATTAAGTTTAAATCAATTGTACATGAACTCTTGACAAAATTATATTTTAAAACTAGTATATTTATTTTCTCGGCTGTAATGTAGTAATAGTACAAAAACTAAAACACTTGTTCCATAATTGATGGTTTTGTACATTACAGTTTTTGTACTGATTTTGTAATTATCCTCAAAACCTATATTTTATTCAACATTTATTGTTTTATTCATTGACTTGTTTTTAAATAAGCATAAACATTTACAGTGAGTTTGGATATATTGAGTAATATTAAGCTGGGTAATTCTTTATCCAAAGTAGGGTGTATGGATTTTAAGTTTTAGTTTTTAAATGTGATTTTTATAAACTGATTGAAAAAGCAATTCTAAAGGTTTGTGCATTGGGGGAATAAATGTATAGAGCTTTCCAAAGTGACTATTTTGAAATCTAGGTTTGGTAGTGCACACCTTAGTCCCAGGTACTTGAGAGACTTGAGGCAGCAGAATCCCTTGATTCCAGGAGTTCAAGGCCAGTCTGGGCAACATAGCAAGGCCCTGTCTTTAAAAAATATGTGTATGTGTGTTTACATTAATAAAATAAAACAGAATGAGAACTTTGAAAGGACAGTGATTTAAATTTATTTATTAAATATTTATTTAACAGTCTGCCTTTTATTGGCTTGGAAAGATTGACAGTCTAAATAAAGTAGAGTCACTGCTGGTTAGGGATTTTATATACCTTAAACTTTAGTTTATTAATATAGTTTTAGTAACTTGTAGTATGACTTTTTATATGACAAAGAAACTATGATTTACTTTTAATAAATGCATTGTAAGTATCCCCTTAACTTTTTAATTTTGAAAATTACATTTCCTATTTGAGTAAAACCATATAAATTTCCTTTTCTAGGAAAGAATATCCACCTCATGTCCAAAAAGTTGAAATTAATCCTGTAAGGTTAAGTCGGCCCCAAGGTGTTGGTAAGTGTGCAGTTTCATTTGTTACACCTGTGAAGGGATTTGAATTTCTGTATGAAAGGTACAAATAGAAATATGACACTGACTTTAGAATATTCCTAGATAAACTGGGTTCAGTGATGTATATCTGTAAGCCCACTTACTCAGGAGGATGAGGCAGGAGGGTTAGGAGACCCTGACTCAAAATAAAATAATAAAAAGGACTAGGGATGTAGCTCAGTGGTAGAGAACTTGGCTAGCATGCATGGAATCCTGAGTACAATCCCCAATACAAAAAAAAGAAAGAAAGAAAGAAAAAAAAAACAGATTTAGATAGAAATATATAGAAAATAATTTTTATAATTGAGCATTTCTCCTAACTTTTAACTGCTATATGGTTATAGAGTCAGGTGATTATAGTATGAAATCTTTTGGTTATGTATTAGCATTTTTGTTAACATTCAGATGTTAATTATAGATGAACTATAGCTAATAGTGTTTACCTTCTTCAACACTCATTCTGTTAGGCCTTTAATCTTTATTAAACTCTTACTCTATAGTAGATGCTAAGTTACATGCTTTTATATCCATTATTATATACTATCTCTATTCAAAAATCCCTGTATACTTTTACTTGTATTTTGTACAGAGAAGAAAACTGAGGCATGGAAGAATTACATGGCTTGCTTAAGCACAGGGCTAGCAAATGGAGAGCTGATACTTGATGCCAAATCCCATGTTCTTAGCCACTATATTATTTTCTTGCTCAGTCACAAAATTAGTTCTACTCCTCAGTGAAAAACTAACTGTACAACGAGTATTTTCATTTCTACTTGACAAATGCTTTTTTGTTTTTTTTGTTCTGGGATTGAACCCAGGGGCATATTATTTTTTAGGTGTAGTTGGACACAATACCTTTATTTGATTTATTTTTATTTGGTGCTGAAGATGGAACCCAGGGCCTCGAATGTGCTAGGCGAGTGCTCTATGGCTGAGCCACAATCCCAGCGCCACCCTCCCACCTCCCTCACCCCTCCCACTCCCCCCCCCACCCCTCCACCATTTTTTAATTTTATTTATTGATAGGGTCTCACTGAGTTGCTTATAGACTCACTAAGTTGCTGAGGCTGGCTGTGAACTTGTGATTCTCCTGCCTCAGCCTCCCAAGCTGCTGTGATTATAGGTATATACCACTGCATCTGGCTTGATAAATACTTTTGAGAGAGGTTAAGTGATTTGGATCATTAATATGATTTAGATGCAAAACAGTCAGTCTTGTTATAATAATTATTAGTTTATTCAACAAGATTTGTTAAGTAAATAGAATTCTATTTTTATTGTTGTTGTTAACTTTATTTTGGAAAGTTGTAAAACTAGTACAGAGAGGTACCTGTTTATCCTTCAATGAGCTTTCCTTAATATTAACATCTTTCTAATAATAGTACATTTATCAAAACTGAGAAATTGCTTAGTTCTTAACTAAGCTATTGACCTTGTTCATATTTTTTTTCTAATATCCTTTTTATTTAAAATTTTTTTTAATGGTACCACTTAATGATTATATATGTGTGTGGCATAATTCGATCAATTTCACTGCCTAGTACTTCCCCTATTGCACTGCTTGTCCTTCCCTGGACCCTCTACTCCTAATGGTCTCCCTTTTATTTTTATGATATCTCTCCCCTGCTCCCCCCTCCTTTTTTTTCTGTATAGCTATCACATATAAGAGAAAACTTAGCACTTGTCTTTCTGGATCTCACTTATTTTGCTTAACATAATACTGTTCGTTTTCCTAATAATGACATTATTTTCTGTTATTTTCTGAATTAAACCATTGGGTGTATATGAATCCACCAGCACCACCACCCCATTTTTTTTTTAGTCATTCAATCTTTATCTGTTATAATTTATTCTTATCTATTGATAATGGTACAAAAACTAGACTGTTGTGAAATGTATTATAACAATAAATGTGAGACTGCATACATCTCTAAAGTATGCTATCTTTAATTCTTTTGGAGAGATACCAAGGCATAATGTATAATTGGAACATATGGTGTGTATCTATTTAATTATTTTTAGATTTTTTTTTTTTTTTTTTGGTACTCTGGGTTGAACCCATTGGGGCTTTATCACTGAGCTACATCTCAAACCCTTTCTTTCTTTTCTTTTCTTTTTTTTTTTTTTTAATATGAGACAGGGTCTTGCTAAGTTTCTGAGGCTGACCTTGAACTTTTGATGCTCATGCCATAGTCTGTGGAGTCACTGGGATGCCTGGTTGTTGTAGTTAATTTTTAGTTCTTTGTTGTTTTGTTTTAAGGAACCTGCCTGTACAAGGGTTTTGTTTTATTTGCATCTTTGCCAGCATTTGTTGTTATTTGAATTCTTGATGATTACCATTCTGACTAGAGTGAGATGAAATCTCAGTATAGTTTTAAAAAAATTTTTTTTTAGTTGTAGTTGGACGTAATACCTTAATTTTATTTATATATTTTTATGTAGTGCTGAGGATCAAACATGGTGCCTCACATGTGCTAAGTGAGCGCTGTACCACTGAGCCACAACCCCAGCCCTCTCAGTGTAGTTTTGATTTGCATTTTCCTGATGCCTAGAGATGTTGAACATTTTTTTCATATAATTGTTGACATTTGTACTTTCTTTGGGAAGTGTCTTTCTAGTTGTACTTATTTATTGAGTTATTTGGGGTTTTGGTATCAAATTTTTTTATATATTCTAGTTTTCATATATTCTAGATACATCCTTTATTAGAAGAAGAGCTGGCAAAGGTTTTCTCCCATTTTGTAGGTTCTCTCCTTATGTTGTTTCTTTGCTGTTTCGAAATTTATTATCTGGCTGCCATTCATTTCTTGGTAGTATTATTAATTTTGGTATTGGGGATTGAACTTGGGGTGCTTAACCATTGAACCATATCCCCAGCCCTTTTTTAGTTTTGATTTTGTGACAGGGTCTCATTAAATTGCCTAGGGCCTCACTAAATTGCTGGGGTTGGCTTTGAACTTATGATCCTCCTGTCTCAGCCTCCTGAATTGCTGGGATTATAGGATGTGTGCCACCGTGACCTGCTGATTCTTGGTATTATTTCTGAATTTTAGGAATCCTTTTGAGGATCTCCCTGCCTGTACCTATGTTTTGGATAATTTCCCCTATGTTCTTGTCACAGTTAAATTTGTCAACTTGTTGGATTAAGAGATCCTGCGGATTAAGAGGATTGTGGGTGTGATAGTGTGTGTAGGAATGATTGGCATGTGGGATAGCTAACTGAAATGGAGACCCTCCCTAAGTGTGGACAGGACCAACCAATAGGATGATGGCTTGGATGAAATAAAAGTTGTAAGAACAAAGAAGCAGCAGCAGATGCAAGATTGATTCTTCTTGAAGGGGTTCTTCATTGCTGCTGTGTTCAAGTTCTTGATTGGTGCTGCAGTCATCTGAAGATATCGGATTCTCACTTTTTCACTTTTCCAAAGCAGGCTCTGACAGTGATTCTCCAGAAGACTTAGGTCTCAGACTAGGGTAGCATAGTTGAAATGTCTTTTTCTGTGGCTTCAGCCTATTGGACTGAGCAGCTGCTGGTTGTCCCAGCTCTCCAGCCTACAGATGGCCATTGTGGACTATCCAGCTTCTGTTCGTGGAAGCCAACCTAATAAGTCCCCATTTTATTATTATACTTCTTGTTGATTCTGTTCCTCTAGAGAACCCTGACAAATACAGTTCTCTTCTACCACTTGGAAAGATTCTGGTCTTATTCCTATATCTTTGATCCATTTTGAGTTGAATTGTTATATAGGGTAAGAAAGGGGGGCCTAGTTTCAATCCTTTTTTTAAATAGTATTTGTATTCTTATTGATTCTAAGAATTATTTGAAATTTCACCTGATTTCTTTTTTTTTAATATTTATTTTTTAGTTGTAGGTGGACACAATATCTTTATTTCATTTTTATGTGGTGTTGAGGATTGAACCCAGTGCCTCACATGTGCTAGGCAAGCGCTCTACCTCTGAGCCACAACTCCAGCCCCTTCTGATTTCTTAGATGAAGCACTCATCATTCAAAAGTGTAATTCAGTATCACCATCTATCCTAGCTGGCAACCTAATGCTGGGATCACAAAATCTTACTATTCTAACAACTTAAGAAAATGACAAAGAAAGCACGCAACCACACAGAAGTACCTTTTCAAAATCCGTGACGGCTCTCCGACCTTAAGGGTTTGTGGAAAGAGAGAGAGCCACTGGAATTCTTTATTCTTATACAGGAGACACACAAGGGGAGGTTCCATGGAACATTCTATCCCCAAAAGGGCAAAGGGGTAGGATTACAAAGGAACAGGTGAGAGTAACTCAGCCACATGGGGTTACACCTACTCCTGGAACCACACTTCATTATCTGAGTGGAGGTAAAGCTCAAGTTATTGCGGGGCACAATAATTGTTCACAATCCTGGTGCATCAGGACTTAAAGCTGCCTGCATCCAGGGCAGCTCCCAACAGTTCAATCTCTGTGTGTTTGTGTAGTTTCTTTGGTTTTCTTGTTGTTGATTTCTAATTTAATTCCATTATGATGGTGAGATGCAAGGAATTTAAAAAATATTATTATTTTTTTTGCATTTGCTAAGACTTGATTTGTGGCCTAAAATATCTGTTTTGGAGAAACTATTTAGAGCAGCTGAGCAGAAAGTATATTCAGCTCTTGAATGAAATATTCTGTAGATGTCTGTTAAGTCCATTTGATTTATAGTATTTTTTATCTATAGTATCTTTGTCACTTTTGTCTGGGTAGCCTATTAGAGAAATATATTGACATCATGATGTATTGTACCTTTGTGAGCCTAAAGGTATAGGCCTAAAGCCATAAATGTCAAGTAGTATTTCTTTTATGTAATTAGGATTTTGGGTTGAAGTCAGCTTTTTGAGTCTCATTTGCGCGGAATATGACTTTTCCAACCTTTCACTTAGTCTATGGATGTCTTTACTTGTGAGTTGCATTTCTTGCAGAGAGCATATAGT